CCCTCATGATCAACCGTAGGGGCTCCAGTGTTTGTAGTGACACCAAGATGATCTAGGAGCAGCCAGAGGTTAGTAGCTCTATCTGATGTGGACTTGGAGATGTCTTGTAAGTCTTCCCATGACTGTTTGGCATAGAAGTTTTTTGATTCCAAGAACTTCACATCTCTAGAGATTATAACTCGTCGTGTAGTAGGATTGTAGCATTTGTACCCCTTTGAGTAGTGGAGTAGCCAACAAACATACATCTAGTGCTCTTGGCATCAAGTTTTGTCCTAAGATCTCCTGGAATTAAGGCAAAACAAACACACCCAAACACTCGTAAGTGATCAAGAGAAGGTTTGGTTGAGTTGAGTACCTCATATGGTGATGAGTCATGGAGAACTTTGGTAGGTATTCGGTTGATTAAGTAGCAAGCTGTAAGTACAGCATCTCCCCAAAACCGTTTTGGTACATTGCTTTGAAACATCATGGATCTGGCCACCTCCATTAAGTGTCTATTCTTCCTTTCAGCTACACCATTTTGTTGGGGCGTGTAAGGGCAGCTTGTTTGGTGAATGATGCCATGTGAGGTAAGGTATTCTTTGAATATGTTACTGGTGTATTCTCCTCTATTATCTGATCTGAAAATCTTAATCTTGGCATTAAAATGGTTAGTTATGTGAGTTTGAAAATTTCTAAATGCCTCAAAGACTCTATCTTTTGATGGAAGGAGTGTTAACCATGTATACTTAGATTTTTCATCTATGAAAGTAACAAAATATTTGTTTTGATCTCTAGATTCACATGGGGATGTCCAAACATCAGAATGAACTAAATCAAAGCATTTTTCATAAATAGTAGAAGACTTAGGAAACACAGTTCTACAATGTTTTCCTAAGATACAAGCTTCACAATCATCATTCTTAAACACTACTTTAGGTAATAAAAGACTCAATGCACGAGCATGAGGATGTCCTAATCTAGCATGCCAAATCGCATTATTAGCACAAGCTACAACATTATTAGAAGAAGCAAAGGTAGGAGATAAAAGCTTAGTGTCTTCAAGAACATAGAGATCATCTTTGGTAGTCCCTTTCCCAAGCATTTTGCTGGCCTTAATATCCTGAAAACACACATCATTAGGTCCAAAGATAGCAATACAGTTTAAATCAGTTGTATCTTTCTTTACTGATAATAGGTTAGATGTAAAGGTAGGCATGTAAAATGCTTTAGAAGATCTTTCAAAGAGCTTAAGTTCTCTTATTCCCTTAATTGGCACCTTTTCCCCATTAGCAATCTCAACATTTCCTATTGTTGGTTTTATGTTACTAATTAAGCTTAAATCACTAATCATGTGATGTGAAGCTCCTGAATCAACTATTAGAGGCTTATTCTTAAGAGTATATGAAGAACTATAAGAATTACCCAAGTTTTTAACTACATGAAAAGAGGTACCAAGAGTGTTACCAGATTCTTTAAGTGCTTTGATCAAGGCGTCTAACTCTGTTTTCTTCACGAATTGGGATGAGTTAGCTATTCCTTCCTCACAAACGTTTTTCTGAGAAGACTCTCCCTTGTGAATCCCCTTTTCATTCGCATAGTTAGCTCTTGGTTCCTTCCATTTGCTCGGTTTGAGATGTGGATGAAGGATCCAGCATTTTTCTTTGTTATGCCCTTTCTTCTTGCAATGATCGCAGAATAGGCTCCTCTTTTCATCAAACTTGTAAGCCCCCTTATTTGCTGAAACGAGCTCCCCCTTTCCTCCAAATAAGCCAAGCGATCCTTGCTCCTTTTGGATTTGAGAACACACTTCTTCAAGGGTTGGCAACCGTTCTGCTCTAAGGAGATGCTTGATGAGATCATTGTAAGTTGAGCTGAGGGTCATGAGCAATCCAAAAACTTTATCTTGCTCTCTTCTGTCATTCAGGACTTGAGGGTCAACTGTGCTTGGCCTTAGCATCTCCAGTTCTGCCCATAGTGCTCTGAATTTTCCAAAGTGTTTGGTAAACTCCATATCTTCTTGCCTTAGCTCATTGATAGCCTTCTTGACTTCAAATACACGGCTGAGATTAGAAATGTTGCCGAATACTTGCTTCAAGGTCTCCCATAGCTCTTTGGCGGTTTCACAGTATGAGTAAGCCTCCAAGATTTCATTGCTAAGGGAGCTTTGTAGGAGAGCAAGGACGGTCTGATCTTCCTTGTACCATTGGGTCTCTTCGGTTGGGATAATGGCGGCTACGGCGGCTGGTGGTGCTGCTAGAGGAGCATCGTTTGACACATGACTCCAAAGACCTCTTCCACACAAGGCGGTTCTTGTGGTTCTTGACCACAGCAAGTAGTTAACCCCTTTAAGGGTAACTGGTAAAGCCAATGGCTTGTTGTTCTCCATGGCCATGTTTTTGACTCTATGGACCGATGGGCAACCTTATGGACTGATGGTTAATAGATTTGAGAGGTGTTTAGTGAGAGTAATGAAAGGCAAGCGAATGAGAATATGGATGACTAGAGGTGTTTAAGATGGTTTTGAAGTTTTAGAGACTGGTTTAGTGGTTGTGAGAGATAGAGACAAGTTAAGGACCGTTGGGTAAAGATTTTGAGAATTTTCTGTAAACTGAGAGAGATAGCGAATAGAGAAGAAGTAAAATGAGAGAAAATGAGAATCAGAGTTTGTGATCCAAAGATCTACATAACTCGCTCTGATACCATGTTGAATTATTTGTGGATTATTATGAATAAGAGAGTGTGAAATGAGTGAAAGGAGTGAAAGGAGTGAAGAACATGAGTGAGAAAGAGAGTAGTTTAAGGGGAGTATATTTCCTTAAGTTATCTTTTACAAATGTAGATGAAAGTCTATTTATAGACATAGACATTGTTAACTAACGGCTACAAGAGATAAACATAAAGAATAAGCAAGTGGATGTGGTCCTCACGGTGATAGTGACTGTTCAAGGGGAGTCACCAACGTTCATCTCCTTAAGTGTAACATGTGACCTTATCTTCTTTGGTCTTTAAACACTTGTGACCGTTGGTGTAGATAACAAAGCCGACCATCTCCTTGCCTTGTACTCCACTCTAGTTTACTATCATACCTTGAAGATCATGTCTATGAATGTGTACGGACACCTTTCTAGGTTGATCATTTTGATACTGGAGCCGGAATATCCGCGGTAATTGGTGTCTGGTTCGCCGCGGTGGCGAGGTTTGATGGACCTGGAGCATGCAGAAGTGTCATGAATGGTCCGGGTGGATTACTCGGAACAGGGATCGACGAAAAGTCGAGCTGGGTCCGTGGAGGTGGACTCGCAACGGATCGAGCTGCGGTTTGACCCCTTTCCTGTCTTTCTAATCTGATCTCCTGATCTCGTTGTCGATCGATCAGATATGTGAGCATTTAGAGTATCTCCGCCGACTCTGATGTGCTCCTAGAAGCTACATGTATCGGCAGGGAAACAAGAGCTACCCGGCTCTGAAACGCCGAAGTTGTAGGTGGATTCTCATATCACACCCAGGTTCGAGAGGGAGGTCTCTCGGCTGTTTGTGACTGATTACTCGTCGTTCCCGGTGGGGTGACGAGGTTGATCACGATCGGTTCCACACGCTGGAAACGTTGGAGTTCGCATTGGTGGTGTCGACGAGGGTCGTAACCCTGGGTTCATTTCCGCCGGCTGTTTGGCTGACGTTGCCGGTCGAAATAACTTGATCTGGAGAGATCGGAATCAGTGAGATGTTTCCCGAGGTTTGTTGAGTTGAATCCATTTCGGTTTCAGCTGGCTTAAGATCTGCTCTTGAGTAAAAGAAATCTATAGATCTTCCCTACAGATGACACCAAAATGTGGATACAAAAATCCACACTCATAAATTTATGTGTTATTGTAAGGAAAGAAACTTAAGAGAATTAAGGACTAGATTCTCTCGAACAGATTGACTGTATAAGCTAGCACTAACTGAAATAAGGACTTGATATTAATCGGTTGAATGAAACAGTTACAAAGATTTCGATGGAAAAGATGAACTGAAAAGAGCTCTGAGAGCAGTTACAGGGTTTTCGTGTGTAAAAGGTGTTGAAGAAGATCAAGCTGAAGGTCCTCCAGAAGCCCCCTTAACTAAGTCATTTGCCTTCTTTATATAGCTCGCCTTGTCGAGCTTCAACCTCCAACGCGTATCTCGGCCACGTGCAGCAGCTTCAGCCGGAAATCTCGCCACGTGCAGCAACTTCCTCTGCGAAATTCGGACTCGTTTGAATTGGCGAGAATATGCTTTGACTTAGCTCGGATCCTTCTTAGTTTCTCGGGATTTGGTCGAGCTGGAGCTCGACCTCGTCGAACGGAACGTTTTGTTGTTCAAGATTGGATCGTTGAGAGTCGATAGACCTGGGCCGTAGGATCAAAGCCTAGTCAATTTGGCTTGGTTTAGATCTGTCTATTAGGCTCGAGTGGACCGGATTTAGAGTGCTAAATCCAACTTCAATAATTTTGATTTGTAAATGTATTATTTAGTCTTTGTGTATTTTTATGTTTTGAGCATTTTCTACACTTACTTACATAAGACCCATCAAAGGTCAAGAAAACTTGGCTTTTCTAATCAGATCTAAATCTAGATCTCTTATCTCTCAACCATTAGCAGTTGTGTCATGTCTTTGATATTGATGATATCTATTACAAAACCGGCACAGCAAGCTTTATCGAAATCAGAACACACCCGGCCCATTGATATCCGTCTCTAAAAGAATCAACAGTCCTTTCACGGTTCGAGTCCAAAATTAACAACCCTAGCTGCCTGCAACTAACTTATTAGCCCGGTAGCCAAAATGGTTTGTCTTCTTCTCACCTCTCACGACGTCTCCAATTCTCGGGTCAATTGCATTTTTAACTTGGTAACTCAATAAAAATGTGCAAGTAAAAGACAAGTTGAAGGAAAATCACAATTATTATCCTTAAGCCGATAAACGTCAAACTGATCGCGAACAAGCTTTCACTGGGATCTCTCCTTCATCGCCGATCAAAAGCGAGACCTAATCCGCCATGGGAGTACCAGCTTTCTACAGATGGCTCGCCGACCGATACCCGAAGTCTATTAGCGACGTCGTGGAGGAAGAACCCACCGATTCTGGTCGTGGTCACCCAATTCCGGTAGACATCACCAGACCTAACCCTAACGGCTTCGAATTTGATAATTTGTACCTCGATATGAACGGTATCATCCATCCTTGTTTCCATCCTGAAGGAAAGGTAAGTTTTTTACTTTATTTGTATACTAATTTAGCTGGGAATTACTTGGTTATGGCTTTGAGTTGATCGTATTAGGCACATGGGTTTGTTGTATGAGAAATTAAATAACTGAGTTAAGTATTTTGGTGAAGAAGATGATGATTCACAGTTGTTACTTTCGTTAGTTTTGCTTACCAAAGTAAATGGAAGTTCTTTTAAGAAACTGAATTGGGTATATATTTTTCCGAGACATTGGATGCAAATGGCAGTGTTGATTCTGCTCATGTATGTGAGTCAGGAGTAGTTTATAAAGTTTTTGACTAGAAAACAGGATCAAGCAGTGTGATTTGTTTCTCATTTAAGTTGAGCAGACATTTTAATGAATGGGAGTGAGTTAATTGTGTAGCAATTTGCGTTATGCTTATACTTAATTTCCATGTAGATTTCACTAGCTAACCGCATTTTGATTACATGATATCAATGCAGCCTGCACCTGCTACATACGATGATGTATTCAAATCAATGTTTGAGTACATTGACCATCTCTTTACTTTAGTGCGGCCGAGGAAGATTCTTTATTTGGCTATAGGTGATCTTTGCTTCCTTCTTCTCCCCTGTTAGATTTGCTCTGTGAAATGGGATCTGAGTATAGTGTTGCAGATGGAGTTGCACCCAGGGCAAAGATGAATCAGCAGCGTTCTCGACGTTTCAGAGCTGCAAAAGACGCAGCAGAGGCTGTATGTTCCCTCTGTCTTTCTATTTTACATATACTCTTGAGTTTGCGTGGGTCACTGTTGTTTATACCGAATCTGGTTGAATAGGAAGCTGAGGAAGAGAGGTTAAGACAAGATTTTGAGATTGGGGGCCAAATGTTGTCTGCTAAAGAGAAAGCAGAAACCTCAGATTCAAATGTTATTACTCCTGGGACCCAGTTTATGGCTATACTGTCAGTAGCTCTTCAGTATTACGTCCAATCTAGGTTAAACCATAACCCTGGTTGGAGATTTGTGAAGGTGTGATAATGTTCGTCTAACTTAGCCGTTATTACCCAACTGTCCAAGATTTGATCTTATTCTTGCAGTTCTTATTTTGTTAGCGACTTAGCGTTTTTTCTGTTTCAAGGTAATTTGTCTCCCTAACGTTTCATTGATTATTATATGAAGGTAATTCTTTCTGATTCAAATGTTCCGGGGGAAGGAGAACACAAGATAATGTCATACATTCGCCTCCAACGTAGTCTTCCTGGTTTTGATCCAAATACACGGCATTGTCTGTATGGTCTGGTTAGTGTCAAGCCACAGTGTAGTTGTTTTACTTCCTTTTTGCTGGTAAGATATTGGTGCTTCTTCCAGCAAATTGCTCATTGCCAAGAGCTGTATATCCTTATGCAGGATGCAGATTTGATAATGCTCTCTCTAGCCACACATGAAGTTCACTTTTCAATCTTAAGAGAGGTAGCTGTTTTCCATTAGTTTGCTCTATATTTGCTTTGATACTCTGTCAGCCAAATGACGGATCATCTTGCTCATTCCAGGTTATCACATACCCTGGCCAACAAGAGAAATGTTTTGTTTGTGGACAAACTGGTCATTTTGCTGCTGATTGCCCTGGAAAGTCAGGTAGCGCAAATGCAGCATCTGATATTCCAATACACAAGAAAAAATATCAGGTTTAAGTAGTTTGCTTTATCATCTCCAAGAGATCCTGCTGCAGTTGAACAACATGCCTCTTTTGGAGATTTCTCTTATCTATCTGATGTTATGTGTTTTATAGTTCTTGAACATCTGGGTGTTGCGAGAATATCTGCAATACGAATTGGCCATTCCAGATCCTCCTTTCACTATCAACTTCGAGAGAATTATCGATGACTTTGTATTCCTTTGCTTTTTTGTTGGCAATGACTTCCTACCTCATATGCCTACATTGGAAATTAGAGAGGTATGCACATTAAGGAATCTTTTCACTCTTACCGTATAAAATTCTTGTTCTGTTAATTGTAAAATATAGTTTCAATAGCCATGTGGAGAACAGTATCCTGTTTCACGCACTATGACGCCATCGGGCATTTGACAAAATAGTCTTTAGCTTAAAGATTTTAATCTTTATACTCTGTTCTTTCTTACTTCAGGGGGCTATAAACTTGCTGATGCATGTTTACAGAAAGGAGTTTACAGCTATGGGAGGCTATCTAACTGATTCTGGTGAAGTAAGTTATTGGGTTTTTATAGTCTTCTGCCCCATTTCATTCTCGCTTCAGATTGATCAATATCATACTATGTATGAGCTGTAGAAAATGTTCAGTTATCTCATGGAAACTTACTTGAATTGCTTCGCTTCTATTTTGCCTGCATAGGTGATAACTGATGAAAAGATGATCTGCATTATTTCCACCGACTTTGCGTGTTTGTTTCATTTTCCCATTGACAATCTTCTGTTTTTCTGCATTATAGGTTTTACTAGATAGGGTGGAGCATTTCATTCAAGCTGTCGCTGTAAATGAAGATAAAATATTTCAGAAAAGGACGCGGATAAAACAGGTATTCGTAACATATCCTATGTTTCACTTAATCCAACCCATAGTCATACCTTTATAAGTCAAACTGGTCACATTTCAAATCAGCGTTCAAACCCAACATGCCACCATGCTTTTGGCACTGACCACTACGTTGTCCCACCTACCGTGTCTGTGATCCATTTCTACTTTCATCATTCTACTTTGTTGCGCTGTTGCCATGTGCTAGCCTCTGATACCAGTTGATAGGATTCCTATAATAGGAGCAATCCAGTCTTTGTATGGTTAATCATTACAACTCACCCCTATAAGCTAGCTTTTGAGTGAATGGTGCTCCTTATAAGGCAATGGGTTTGTATCTTATTTTTCTGTTATGGTCAAGCTGCATAAGTTATGGCTAATGGTGTGCTAATGTTGGTATTCAGTCAATGGACAACAATGAAGAAATGAAACAAAGATCAAGAAGAGACCCATCTGAGGTACCACCTGAACCGGTAGACGATAAGGTAAAATAGATTATTGCGACGTTCCCTTTGTATGAGCTTGTGAGCTGGAGAGATTCTTATATCTTTATTAACAGGGGAAATTGTTTATGTGGTACAACTAAAATTGCTCTTCCAATTTGTCTAGATTAAGCTAGGGGAGCCAGGCTTCAAGGAGAGGTATTATGCTGAGAAATTTAGTACGATCAACCCAGAGGAAACTGAGCAAATCAAACAAGACCTGGTGAGTTTTACGGCAATCCACTCTCTCAGTCACCATTCTGATGATTTTCTATGATAAGTCTAACGTCTGATAATGGTTTCTTCTGGCCATGTGCTAATGTGGTTGCGTGAGCATTTAGGCTTTTAACATCCCTTCGAAGTCCCTCATCTTCAAAGTTTTTAACCAAAAATTTACCACGTGATTTTTGCACAGTTCGTTTTATATTTTATGCAGGTTTATAACGCGATATGAACTACTCTCTTGAAACGTCTCCTGAGACAGTTTTAGATGAACATGAAACTTTCAGTAAGTCTGATGACCTATTTTCCATGTAGGTACTAAAATATGTTGAAGGTTTGTGCTGGGTTTGCCGGTACTACTATCAAGGTGTATGCTCTTGGCAATGGTCAGTCTAACTTTATTAAAAGCTTATATTGAAATTGTCAAGTGGCTGCCATGAAACCTATGTTTTTATAAGGCTAGAATATCTTATTTTATTGTAAACTGATAGGTCACTTTCCGAGAAAGACCTTGATGGTGTCGCTTGTTCAGAAATATGAAATTGCAAATTTTGAATCCTAGTCTGTGTTTTCTAACCCTTTCTTTTATTTCCTCGCAGGTTTTACCCATACCATTATGCTCCATTTGCTTCAGATCTTAAGAATCTATCTGATCTGGAAATCACATTTTTCATTGGAGAGCCCTTTAAACCTTTTGACCAGTTAATGGGAACCTTGCCGGCTGCAAGGTTCTTTCCCTATTTTTTATAACCTCAATGATTATTATTTCGGGTCCCTGCGGTGATGTAAATTGTGTTTTTTGGTTGTTGCAGCTCAAATGCTCTGCCTGGAGAATACAGGAAGTTGATGACTGATCCCTCATCCCCAATCCTGAAATTCTACCCTGCGGGTAATCATTGATCCCAAATGCCATATATATCTTTACTTTCCTATATATTCATACTGGATAGTCAATAATGGATACTCATAAGCTATCGTTATACTTACATACAGATTTTGAGATAGACATGAATGGAAAACGCTTCGCCTGGCAGGTTCATGGTTGTCTGTATTCTTTGGATATAGTGATGATGTTATCATGATGAGACTGTATTATGTTCTTCAGATTGTGATGCTCTGTGTTTTGCACTTCCTGTGATCCAGGGTATTGCAAAACTTCCTTTCATTGAGGAGAAATTATTGTTAGCTGCTACAAGGAAGCTTGAAGAAACCCTAACGGTTTGAACTAAATCTATACTCGAAATACATATGCATATCGTTTGGTCAAAACTACATCCTCTCCAAGAAAACTATATAATTCTTGATAGAAGATATAAATTAATCGACCTCCAGGGTGCTTTTTTTGTTAGCTACAAAGTACCTTTACTGCTTAGATTGATCTAGCCATCAGTTTTAGTGTCAAGTGTCTTGTGGTAAATAGAATTGAAAATTATTAGTTATTAAATATTCAACATTGAATCAACCTCGCAGGTGGAAGAACGGCAACGCAACAGTGTGATGCTTGATCTGTTATTCATACACCCCACTCATCCATTGGGCCAGCGGGTTATGCAATACTACCAGTTCTACCACCAGTTGCCACCACATGAATGTCTTCCATTAATGATTGACCCAAATTCTAGGTTAGCTTTGATTGCCTATAACTTAAAAAACAAAACAAAAAGCTGTGTAGTCTGAATATCGAGCTTGTTCTTATTGTCGAGTCTCTTGTGTTTGTTGCAGCCAAGGGATGAACGGTTTTCTCTGGCTAAGTGAAAGGAATGGTTTCCAAACTACAGTGGTCTCCCCTGTCAATGATTTGCCATGCATTGAGCAAAACCGAGCCTTGTACATTTCTTGCGCTTCACAAGTTACTGTTTGATAAAATTATGATTTCCTCACTTAGATTATTTCCTATACATATTTCAGAAATGTTACGTACTTGAATCCTGCCAAACACTCTCATATTCCAGAACCACCAAGAGGAGCGATCATTCCGGAGAAGGTATGTTGCACCAAAGGAGCCCCTCATGAACAGTATAGTTCATCACTGCATAAATACAAATGGAAAATTAGGTTTTGTATTAGCGTTTAGGATAATCTATTTGCTTCTATGTCAAATGAATATCTTTTCTTGCCAGTCTTTTTTTATGATCCGGGTTCGTGGATCGGTGTTCATTATCGAAGTTTCAATTTGCAGATCTTGACGTCAGTAGATATAAAGCCATTTCCTCCTTTGTGGCATGAAGACAATAGTAACCGACGCCGACAAGCCCGAGATAGGTATAAGGGAAATATAATAGACTGATATTTTGAAGATCATAGTGTGAATTATGTTTTTTTTATAAACCATCTAATATGTCTAAATGCAGACCACAAGTGGCTGGTGCTATAGCCGGACATACACTGGGAGAAGCAGCTCATCGTCTGATCAAAAACACTCTTAACATGAAATCCTCAAGCGGTTCAGCTTCAGGATTAATTGACCCATACGCGTACAACCGAAATGTACCGGGTAATCATTACAACGGTGGTGTCAGTAAACCAAGAGCATCAGGTTCCTCTTCTTACAAGAAAGCATACGACGATGACTCGAGCTATTACTATTACGGAAAATACAACAATATTTCACCAGGAACGTACAGCAACGGTCCAAGATATCCTGTTCCATTGAATGGATCACCAGACTATAACCGGAACTACAACTCTAATACAGTAGTAGAGCAGCAGTACCATTGTGGAATTAGGGATGGAATGTCTGGTTTATCGATAGATGATAACGCCAGAAGCAAACAGTTGCATACAAGTTATACGGCAGCTGTTAATGCCAATCTCAAACCGTTGCCTTCACCGCCAACACAATGGACCGGAACACAGCAAGGTGGGAGTTTCGCCGGTGGATACTATAGAGAAGGAGTTGGATATGGTGAATTAAATGGAAAACCGGGAAAGAAAGTGATTTATCAGGCCAAGACACAACAAAGTCATCATCGAGGCACAAGTGAATGAGATTTTTAGCTGAGGCGTGTTTGAGCAGGTTTCTTCTGTACAGACGAGTTTCTTTCATTCGTTGCAATGCCCTTTTGCAGTCTGGTAAGAAGCTACATATTCAGAAATATTTGCACTGTCATTAATTCTCTAAAAGTTCTGGCTAAAGCCAAATGTATAATGTACGTTTGACTTTCTTTCTTTTTTAACGCCTTTCATTTTAAATGAAGTATCGTTTTCACATTTCTCAGTCGAATTTAAGAAAATAGTTCCATGTTCTGTTACGCCATTGATCGACTATTGTAATTCTATTTTCCTTCTCAATCATGTCTCGGTTCCCTTCATATTTGCCAGTTTGCATCCTTTTAGCAACGTTTCTACGATATGATTAGGTTCTCTCGAGGATTACTGAAAGTTTTACTCATTCCGATCATTTTTTTAACATGAAATAACTTATTATTGATCATCTAGCTTTTGCATTTTCATGAAAATACAATATTTTATTTGCCGTTCTCATTGAGACAGATCCAATTACATTTTCCAAATTCCCAAAATGCTTAGTCTACTCAAAATTTGTGATATGAATTTACAAATTTTGAGTAGTCTAAGCATTTCACATAGAACCAGTAGTATGTACAAATTTCTTCACTACAGGACCAAAATTGCTAAATAGGATATTTATTACCCCTCAAGATTAGGATGTTAAATTAAGGTGTTTACTTACTCTTCAAACCAACCCTTTCCAGTAGAAATCAATAATAGGTATAAATGAGAGAATAATGGTGTATTGAAACATTATAAAAATTGTAATAACATCGTTAACATAATTGTAACATCAATTATTGGATGAAATAGCCACTCAAGAAAAGCATAAAGAAGAGGAAGAGACTGCCAAAGATCAAAGCAGTTTTCTGACCAGAAGTAAGTGCATTACCACCAAGACCATATTGTTGATTCTGAGCAAAACCAGCAATCTCAACCATTTTACTCTCGAAGAAACCCTTTGCAGCTCCACACGTTGGACATCTCCAATCTTCAGGCAACTTATCAAATTGAAACCCAGGTGGGATCGGGTACAATGGATCACCCGCTGATTCATCGTACTTGTACCCACATGATCTACACTCGAAGATCCCAGTGTTCAAAACCGCGAATTTCTCTTCTTCTCTTCTTCGCTTCTCAATAGCATCTTCGAGTTCCATGGTCTCTGTTTCCGGCGTGTTTGTGTCGTCTCTTGAAACGGCTAGGCAGCGAGAAGGGGTATATTGGTAATTTGGGTAGGAGATGGTAATGAAGATTTGGTGGTGGAGGTGAAGGTGAAGCTGTTGTTGTTTCTTGCCATATTTGAGAAACGACGTCGGTTTGAAGGAAGAGGGAGAAGAAGAAGAAGAAGAAGAAGAAGAATGTGAGTGGGAGAGAGGAGAGAAGGAGAAAGAGGCAGTCGCCATGTTTTCTTCTTTTAGTTCTTATAATTTTTGGGTTTGTTCATTGTTTGAAGAGATGAATAGGGAAGTCCTAGGGAAGTCACACTGGAGAAGAGAGGTGCGCAGGAGAAAATGCTTGGATAAGATTTTTGAAAAGCATCGAGACGACCACGTGGCCATCTTTCAAAGGATCTTATTTCTCTCTTAATCCTAAAATATAGATTGACCGCTATAGCACATTTAAAAAAAAAAATTATCTAATAATAACCTAAGTCTATAAAAAAAAAAAAATCACGCCGACTTAATGAATTAAAAGAAACAAATCAAAAATAATAGAGAATCTCCATCAAATCAAAGGAAATCGATATTATCCATATTCCAAATATGAGAATTATCCAAAAAAAAAAAAGAAAAATGAGCTTGTAGCAATCGACCTCCTAATCCTATAAATAGAAGATATTAGATAGTTTGAAGACCAGTTCAAAATCCTTAAAGAACAAAAGAACAAGTTATAGAGTTCTAAAGCTTTCTAGTTCATACCTTAAATAATTTCATTCACTTCGCCAAGATCACTAGATCATGCCACCTTTATAATCTTCTACGCCTTTGAGCTTATAATAAAGATCTATTCTTCAAAATCCATAACTGTCTATTGCTTATTTATATAAGTGATTTTATGATTCAATAATTGGCGCCGTCTATGGGAACTAGGAGAATAAATTCTTGAAAAAATAATACAAAACTAGAAACGATGAGTCTTCCCAGCGATAACAATCAACATCTCATCAACCAGGAGAGCGCAGCCCCGCGAAGAGCATGAAAATCCAACCATCGATGAACACGGTAACCCCGTCGTCACTAATTCCGCGATTCCACCACCCACGAGAGCACATCCGGCTCCCATCCTAGCCGCCGACTCACCGCAGCAATTCAGGCCGCCATATTACCGTTTACTCAAGACACGGTTTCTAGACTCGACAATCTGCGAGTTCAGCATGAGAAGTATGACGAACAACTTAGAAGTTTGGCGGTCACGACAACCACCAGGTCAGCACTGCTCGGCCGAAGATTTTTTGCAACACCCACTCACACCGTGAATAGGGCAACTGATGTTATTGCATATTGCATACATTTTGCATACTCATTAGTTAGCTTTTCATGCATTTGTATCATGTTTTAGGTTAGATTGCATCACTTAAGGTCTTAGAGCATTCTTGCATCAGCATACGCATTTTTCTTGCATTTTGCATCACATTCAGGTTGTTTCTGGCTGCTTTGGAGTCGTGGAGGTTCGTGGACGTGTTGAAGCTGATGTAGCAGTTCGTGGGAGCTCGGAAATATGCTAAGGACCAGAGATCGAGGAGCAGATCGAGCATGGCCGGTCGATCTAGGAGTTGATCGACCAGAAGATCGAGCCAACTAGGCGATCCAAGGAGAATGATCGAGACGGAGATCGAGTGAAGCAATCGATCAATCGGTACGGACGTAAATGACGCCATGCAGAGAGAGAGACAGATCGAGTACACCACTCGATCCAGCCGAATATCGATACCGAGATCGGATGCAACACTCGATTCGCCGATGAATATCGAGACCCAGATCGAGCAGAAGACACGATGTCCAGATATGATCGAGAGAACCACTCGATCTTGGAGTCGATTTCTGTCCTTTCAACCGTTTTTGGCTGCTAGCGAAGGGGGGACCATTGGCTTGTTTGGGCATTTTAGGCAAGGCGGCGACACCCTTTTTCGAGAACTTTTAGATCCTTATCCTTTTCTTTTATGTTTTCTCTCTCGTTTTCGTGAAGGACACCATGGTTGAAACTCGTTTTTCTCTTAAGCTTTTGTATTTGAATCCTTATCGTTTAATCTAGTTTTCTTTCATGTTCATCGTCTCGTTCCATATGCTTTGCTTGATTTACTTTATGTGTAGTGAGTAGTTCCTTTGGGTTCGGGGTTGAGAGGATTAAGGGGTAGAAAAGGTTTCGATCTTGGGGTTTTTCTAAACGTTTTTAAAGGCTATCTCTTCTAAGGTGTTGAAAGCTTAAAGCTTGGAGACTCTCACGCCAAGAGCTTCATGATCCGAGAGGTTCCTTACCTTGACAGGATCCAGGAACCTCGGAAGATCACACCTTAGAGACTAGTTACCCCTTCCCAAAAGCCATGGAAGTTTGGGGGACTAGTTAAGCCATTTACTTGAAATCTGTTTTCCTTGCCTTTCGACCTCTCTTTCCACCAAAAGCCATGGGTTTGGAGGAGAGGATGAAAGAGTGATCTATACCGAAAGCCACGGATAGATCTTGTTTTGTTTTCAAGGCTTAGAGATCCTCACCAAGTGAGTCGATCTAAAGTTTCAAACCCAAGGTCGAACCTTTGAAGCCCCTAACTATGAATCTGAACCCCATGCCCTTTCTTTTAGTATCTTTACGTCTATTCTCATCTTTCGCTTGTTCTGATAACATCCTGGTCATTAGTTTCACTGTTTTTACATTTTTAGACGAGATCGATTGTTACTGCTCGATCTAGTGGTCGATCTCGTGGTCAATCCACTAGTCGAATTTTAATAATTCGAAGCTCTTTCCTTTAATTAATCCGTTTGTTTCTCGTGGTAGTTGCTTTCTTTCTAGTATTTTTAAAATAGGTTTCACTCTGTTTAGGTTGCTGCATCTAGTTCTTAGATATTTTCTCATAAACTGTCTCATTTTGCTTAGATTTGCTTTAGTCCATGCATTCTCTGTGCATTCTCTATCTCCTAGAAGTGGATTGACTCTCTCTTGCTTGCTATACTACGACATTGCTTGCATTAGAGTTTGATAACCTCTCTGCATCATAAACCCTCGCTAAGAAAATGTATATCAAATGGCGCCGTTGCCATTCTAGGATTGTTTAGAGAACATAGAGATTTGGGACTTAGCAAAGACTAAGTCTTTACCTTTTTCAAGTTACTAATACTTCTACTCTCAAATGTGTGTTTTCAGGTACATGAATCTTTGTTCAAAGGGAGACAACAATCTTCTACGACCCTTAGACAACATTCATCAACTTGGTCACTCACGGCAAAGGAGAGTCAGAGAGCAAACAAGAGCATTTGAGGAGATTGTTCAGCACGGTTTGGTTGACTTTGAAGCTATGGCGGAACACGAGCATCCAGAAGGACCTCCTCCAGCAGGACGGGGCAATGGAAACCCCCAACACGCGGCTAGACCCCCAAGGATCATAGGAGCCGGAGATGCTCCCAATACCCACCACAATAGGTTTGGGATCACTCCTCCTCCGGTGCAAAACAATAACTTCGAGATCAAGCCAGGTTTCATCTCCATGGTGCAAAACAACAAGTTCCACGGCTTAGCAATGGAAGACCCCTTGGAGCACTTAGACAACTTCGAGCAAGTATGTGGGATGATCAAGATCAATGGCATATCCGAAGATGCTTTCAATCTGCGCCTCTTCCCCTTTTCACTCGGAGACAAAGCTAGACATTGGGAGAAGACCCTCCCACAAGGCACCATCCCATCATAGGCTGAGTGTAAGAAGGCATTCCTCTCAAAGTTCTTCTCAAGCACAAGGACAACACGGTTGAGAAGCGAAATCAGCGGTT